AAAAAAAAAGATAGATATAGCATTGGAAACAATTCAAAACCTACAGAAAGAGGTCCAAATGATCAATAATAGAATATCAGAAATAGACAATACACTGACAGAGGAAAGAGTAGAATAGAAGAAATGGAAGGCAGAACCAGTGAGCTGGAAGATAAATCTCTCATTACCACTAAGACAGAAGAGGAAACAGAAAAAGGGATAAAAAAAATCTGAAGAAGGTCTAAGATTCATGTTGGACAACATGAAGAGGAATAACTTAAGAATCATTGACATTCCAGAACAGGAAGAATCACACAGGTCCACAGAGGAAATAGTTGAAGAACTGCTGGAAGAAAATTTCCCTAAAATCCTGAAGATTGCAAAGATAAACATTTAAGAAGCTCAATGAACCACTGGAAGGATGGACTTCTAAAGAAAATCACCGACACATATCATAATCAAGCTCTCCAAAATCAAAGATAAGGAAAGAATTCTGAAAGCAGCTAGTGAAAAGAGAAGTGTTACTTACAAAGGCAAGTAAGTCAGATTAAGCTTGGATTTCTCAGAAGAAACCATGCAAGCAAGAAGGCAATGGGGAGACATATATAAAACCCTGAAAGAAAAAACTATCAACCAAGAATCCTTTATCCATTAAAGCTAACAGTCAAATATGATGGTATCATCAAAACATTCTAGGAAAAACAGAAGCTAAGGGATTTTTCCAAAGCCATCCCTGTGCTACAAAACATCCTAAAGGGAGTTCTGTGGTTTGAGAAGCAACAAGAACAGACAACAATCAGAGATTGACATATATGGCAGCAACTCCCAGAACTAAATAGACAGAAGGAAGAGTTGAGAACAGAACAAAACTATAAGAACAAACTCAGAGAATCTGGGAGGTTAGTCTATGATCAAAACAATTACAATGTAAATAAAAGAAGATAAACACGAGGAACAGAGATCCAGATGGTGAGAAGGTCAGGTAGATTACAGGATAAAATAGACTGCACTAAATAGAGGGAAAAGTTAATGAAATATAAGGTAACCTCAAAGAAAATGAACACTTCACAACATACCAAGAAAATGAAAATCAAAGAACATGGAAACATTAAAACAATAAGGAAACTCACAAGAAAGAACACAAAAAGCATGAACTCGGCAAAGGAGGACACACAGAACAAAGAAAGCAGCAAAACCAGAAAAAATAAACATAATAGTAGCAATTAATCCAAACCTATCAGAGTCCCGGTGTGGCACTGTGGGCTAATGCATGAATGAGACTGTAAAGTCATTTGAAAAGCAAGGTCGGTGGTTCAAACACACCAGCTGCTCCTTGGAAACCCTATACAGGGTTTCTATGGGTCTGAGTCAACTCGAAGGCACTTAACAACAACAACAATCGATAATTATACTGAATGTAAATGGATTAAATGCACCAGTCAAGAGACAGAGGGTGGCAGAATGGATAAGAAAACAAGATCCTTCAATATGCTGTCTGAAAGAGACATATTTTACACAATCCAGTATGGAGTATATCTCAATGTAAAGAAAACAAAAATGC